TAATGTTTTGTCTTATTTTACAATAATTAGTTTAGATGTTTAGTTTAATTTATATATTAAGTCATATCGATAACTTCAATTTCACGTTTATAATATTAATAAGGATGACACATAAGAAAAATATATACACTGGCATCGAATTTTGTCTTTGTAACTTTGCCAATTGGTTCTCGCTAGATAGATCACAAGAATTCTTCTTTTACCAATTCCCAGAGAATACCCATTTTCTTTACACAATAATAACGTTTAATTACCTTTTTCTTAGTAGTCTCTTTCTTCAAGTTGTTATTTTGTATTTTATTAATAACTACTCGTGACCCGCGACTGTGTCCGCGTAATTATAGTCTTTCAATTTCGTGCATAGCATTCCTGTAAGGCAGGGGTTCCCCAAATTATTTTGTCTACTGCCCACTTCGAGTATAAATTATTTTTTAGCACCCCCATTTTTTCACCTACTCAAAAACCACTATTACTTCAAGATCAACAAATCACCCCCCAAGCCTCTACATAACGCCTCAATTTTTTTCGAAATCTCTTACCGTCCCCTTTTAGGCCTGCAGCGCCCACAAGAGGGCGTTATCGCCCACTTTGGGAAAGGCTGCTGATAACAGGCGTGCAGGAGACATTACATATCTACGAACAGGCAGGCATATGCATTGTTGATTATATCCATATATTTCTACTGTTCAGTTCTATAACACAATAGACAGTAGAACAAAATGAACTACTTTGTCCATTTAGTCCTAGAAATTTAATAGTACATACAATATTCCTCCAATTGTGCTTAGGACGTGCGCACCAGAGTTGGCTCCGGTTCTTACGCGTCTTTTTCGGCTTAGCTACTCATCGGGCATAGTCCCAAAGTTTTGGAAGACTGCTCTGGTGCATCCGATCCCTAAAAAGGGAGATCGCTCAGATCCAGCTAACTATAGGCCCATAGCTATCACTTCCTTATTCTCGAAGGTTATGGAATCCATCATTAACCGTCAACTGCTCCGGTACCTAGAAGAGCACCAGCTGATCTGTGATCGCCAGTACGGCTTGACAGGGACGTTCGGCCGGTGATCTTTTAGCTTACTTAACACACCGATGGGCAGTGGCAATCGAGAGTAAGGGAGAGGCCTTAGCAGTTAGTCTGGATATTGCGAAGGCCTTTGATCGGGTGTGGCATAGAGCGCTGCTTTCAAAGCTACCTTCATTTAGGTTGCCTGCGAGACTGTGCATTTGGGTCGCCAGTTTTCTCAAGGAACGTAGCATTAAGGTCGTAGTCGACGGTGCATGCTCTGATTTAAAACCTTTGAATGCTGGTGTCCCGCAAGGCTGTGTACTATCTCCGACTCTGTTTCTTCTGCATATCAATGATATGTTACAGATAAGTAATATTCATTGCTATGCGGACGACAGTACAGGAGATACATTATATACCGGTCATGCAAAGATCTCGCGGGCACATACCGATGAGTGCCGGAATAGACTTGTGTCTGAAATCGAAACTTCACTCCATCAAGTTTCGATCTGGGGTGAACAAAATCTTGTCCAATTTAACCCCAAAAAGACACAAGTCTGCGCGTTTACCGCAAAAAAGACGCCGTTTGTCGTATCTCCTCACTTTCAGGGCACTTCCCTCGATAAAAAGTCAAGTCTAGGAATTCTGGGCGTTGATATATCTTGCGACGTCCAGTTTTGCGGTCATCTGGAGGAGAAGGCTAAGATAGCTTCCAAAAAGTTAGGAGTGCTCAATAGGGTGAGACGATATTTCATGCCAGAACACCGCCTGAAATTATATAAAGCCCAAGTCAGGCCGCATATGGAATACCTGTGGGCAGGAGCGCCACAGTACCAACTCCTTCCGTTAGACCGCATTCAAAGTCGGGCGGCTCGAATTATCGATAGTCAACGCCTTACTGTCCGACTTGACCCATTGAAACTGCGCAGAGATGTTGCATCTCTGTGCATCTTCTACCGAATTTATCATGGGGAGTGTTCTGAGGAATTGTTCGGATTGATACCTGCTGCTGATTTTCACCACCGTACAACCCGCCACAAACTAAAGTTTCATCCCAATCATCTGGACGAGTGGCGGTCTTCCACCGTGCGTTTTTCAAGGCACTTTCTTCCACGCACAACCATTCTTTGGAATCAACTTCCAGCAGCAGTATTTCCGAACCGATACGACAACATAACCTTCAAGAAAAGAGTATATTCCTTTTTAAAAGGCCGGCAGCACACCTGCAATGCCGCTGGTGTTGTGGGTGATCATGGGCGGCGGTAGTCACTTACCATCAGGTGAGCCGCATGCTCGTTTGCCCCCTGTGTTGTAAAAAAAAAAAAAAAAAAAAAAAAAAGATAAACAAAATTTCGCAGTAAAATCTATCGTTATAAAGTGTATTAACTGACTACATTAATATTATACTATCAGTACTGGATGTCTATTCAGATCAATGGATTATACGGCATGCTATAACGATTCGCATAAAGAAAGCTTCTTAACCCCTCCATATATATCTTGAAATTACTTAGTAGTCTATACTATAGCGATAATTTCAAACAAAATAGAACGTTATGAAACTAAAAATATTTTATGAAATAAATAACCTTTTTTATGCAGCTATTTTTACATTTCTATTTCAACATCTGTCAGCTAAATGTTGATTGAGACTAATGTAATGATGCTAAAGTCGATGGAATTGATTTATTACAAAATTCTTCATCACCTTCCATCTACATCATTAATCTAGCTCTATAGTATCGTAATAATAGATTGTCGTCGAAGATATACAAGTATTTATGCGAAATTTCGGTTTGAAAATGGATTATAAATTTTGAACGGAAAGGATGAACGAAGCAAATTAAATAAAAGATTCTAATCATTTAAGATATTGTTCTCTAGAAAAGCGATCTCAATTGTAATGGATTTAATATAGAACCAATACTTTATTGACTGATAAATCAATAATAAGTATAAGATATTGCTCTTAAAAAATGCAACTTTAATCTTGACAAAATTTATATGTGATTGACAAGAAAGTGAACCATGTCATATTATTTCGTATTACACATAAGAAATGAATGACATCGAATCCGGAGACTTCTCTTTTTGAAGCTACTTAAAAAGAATGTCGTCTTTTGTTGTAAAAATATATAGGTACTCAAAGAAATTGTCTTTTTATAAGAATGGCGTTGCTTGGACGACTGCTGTTGTGTCACTAATGTTCATGAACTGGCGTTTTCCACTATCTCGTTTGCTTCGTTAACTTCCTAAAAACCTACACTTAAATTCTCTATGTTATCACAATAAAATGAAGGAAAGCATTATATGTAAAGTCGGTGATTATTTTTTATAACTAGTCAAGAATCAGAACTTTGTGTTGCGTGTTTCTTTGTTGAACGCTACACTTATCTCTTACTTGCTTTTATACGTGACATCGTTGTGACGGGGATGTGTTCGCTGAGAAGTATAAAATGTAGCATATATTCTTCTTCATCTAAAATACTATCTACGTGTATATCAAAATTTCTTAATGATTATTTACACCATTAGAGTCCCAGGAAGTATTAAACATACACGCTTCTCGCGGCTTTGTTCGTATAATGCAGTACATAATTTATCTTATTGTGCTAAGTTAAGATATAACCTATCCGTGTAAAAAATTCGGTCAGTAGTTTTTACGTGAAAGAGTAATAAACATTCATCTATCCAAACGCCTTCCCAAATTCTCGCATTTATAATAGTAATTCTTAAATTTCCATTTTATTAGTATGATTTCTTTAAAGTATATTTAATTCCTATTGCGTTTTTCTTTGTTGTAAGCCACGCTTATCCTAGATTATAAATTCAAACATCTTTTTAGATATACTGATATATTTTTTCCACAATTTATTATTTGCATAAAATAAGTATGTATTATGTTTTTATGAACTTTAAAATTGGCATTCAAATTTAATTATTTCTATTTCTTAAAAGTTAAAAATAATTAATTCTTATTATATGTTTCTAAACTGTAAACCATATTTATCTTTGATTACTGAAAACCTTAGTTGTTATACCTTATTTGTTCGGTAAATAATTATTTCAAATTTTAAAATATCGTCTTATTTTACTATTTTTACATTTGAAATTTTAAAATGATTTAATTAATTTTATTATTCTCAAATAACAAAAAAACTTGAAAACTGTATTAAACTAGTACGAGATTCTTTTAAATCGGAAGAATATACCTACCGGTTAAAAACAAATAATCAATATAATCACTTTACTATTAATAATATTGAACATATTTCAGAAAGCAATATTCACATGAATAAATAAATACAATTTGTATTTATTGAGAATTATCAAATTGCTTACTCTATTAATAGCTGTTACGTAAACAGGATCAAATATTTTATCTATAACTTAAAAAATGTATACATAAGGGTTGAATTACTGTAAATTAGATTTATTGCAAATCTTCCATAATATAATCGTATTAAAAACACTTAAATGGACTTAATAATTTAGTTTAGTTATATACTGTAACGTAACAACCATTTAGTATCCTACTATTGGGCATAACTCTCTTCATTTTTAGGACAATATTGAAATACTAACCATCTTGGTCAAGCGATTTAATACCTACAGAGTATTGTTTTGAAATTTTTGCCTCTTGTACTGGAGTGCTGTAATTTATTTTCTTAGTTACTACTAACGACATCCTTGAAAAAAAGGTTTGTATGCGTACTGCGTCACAAAGAGAGGGTGTAATGAGCAAGATACTTTTTTTATAATTAAACAAATAAAATATTTATTTTAAAACAAATAAATAACATTTACATTGTATATATTTATTTTAAATAAATATTGCTTGCAATTTACAATACAAAAATAAAACTTCGGGAACAAATAATAAACTTTTAATCGCTTTTAGCGATAAATCCGCACATTGTACTTAAACTTTGTTTATATAATTAATTACAATAAGAACTTATTTTACAATAAAGTATTGTATTACTGTACTTACTTTTTCAGAGCAAACCCCACTTGTTTTTTTTTTTAAATTAATATTATAGTCCTAAAAAGTTTTTGTATATACACACAGTGTCTTATATTAATTAAAAATATTTACACTATATAACGTGAACAACGTTTGTAACTTTCTGCGTTTTACACGAGAACGTAGTAAGTAGGGAAACGGAGATGCCAACACAAGCGCGTAACTGCTACGATGTTCAGTATGAGACTGGCCAACGCACAACCCTGAGGCATATCGCGCTGAAAATTTTCACTAACAATAAGGACAGACACCTCATACACGTGTCTAGCCTTATTCCTACATAGTTAAGATACAATATTGTATAAAATTGTTTTAATTAAACGACGCACATGTCAGTATTTTTACAGGTGTAAATATTATGTTTTTTCAGCTGTACAATGATACTCAGAAAATAAACTGGAACGTATAAAAATGAAGTACCTATAGACTAAAATATATTACATAAGTATAGTTATGCATCTTGTCTATGTAACAAATTACAATACAATTCTTACTATGTTACTAATATTATTCAATGCTATAAATATGAAAGTTTACAAAAATGTTTTTATATTTGTTATTTATCATGCTTATACAGCTGAATGGATTCAAATAAAATTGGTATTCATACGGACTGTAGCTTGCTAAATCTGCGAAATATAGCTAGCATCTATCTTTACCGTAAATGGGCCAATGCTAATAAAAATATTAGTATATATTATTATCCTTTTTATATTCTTGCTATTACATAATTTCAAAGTGAACTATCATCTCTTGGTGCATTAATGGTTCTTGAATTCTTAAGTCTTCCATTTTTTGTGAATATGTATTTGTTCGTATATTAAAATATATATGTATAATTAAAACGGTTTTATGCAATATTGTATTTTAAATAAGTGGAAATAAGTAAGGAAATGTATATGTTAAAAGATAGTGACTACATAAACGATGTCAAAGGCACACGTTAGTCTCTCAAAATAGCAATTATTATTGATAATTGAGATATAATATCAATTATTAATATATCTTCATTATCACAATAATTTATCACAGAATATTATAATTGTAGAATATAATTGTCTTGTGTTCGGTTGGGATATTTTGTTGAAACCTACTAGATTTTAGAACAAGTTTGTATACCTATTAAAACTGTTTACCTAAATGTACAATGCTTTATTGTAAATATGTACATGTATATATACATAATTATATATCTTCTTCATCTTTACTTTAATTCTGGCGATAAAGAGGGTCAGTTTTCTTACTGTTTTCATATTACTTTGCCCGATATTGAGCATCTTTCTCAGACAAAGCACTGGCTACATACACTACATACTTTTTAATTACATAAATAAGCCTATGTATATAGATATATTTTTTATGATTATATTTTTATAATATAATATCAGCCACTAATTTCAGTTACCGTATGACTAGGCATAAATTAAATTTCTATCAAAGTCATCTAGATGAATGGCGGTTTATCATTACTTTTTATGCGTCACTTTTTGCTACGTACTGTAAAAGTGTAGAATAAATTATTAACAGCGGTATTTCCTAATAAATACAACACAGAGGCCTTCAGGAAGAGAATTTATAATTCCTTAATAGACCGGCAACGTATTGGCCATTCTACTGCTGTCATTAGAGAGTGAGTGTCAATGAGCTGCGGTAATCACATACCATCAAGTGAGCCGCACTTGTCTGTCGCCCTTTCACATAAAAAACATCAATTAATTTATTTATAAATAAACATTTTGTAAAAAATTTTACTGCTCAATCATCTCAATGATGTTTCTCAACAGGTCATCTTTTAGACATGATTGTAGTCTCGTCCATGTTCATCCTATGGTAGGCCTTAAGATGAACATGGGCAAAACATAAAATCATGTTTAACGTCCATATCACACCTATACCGGTTACAATTGAGAACACTACGTTTGAAGTTGTCGATGAATATGTATACCTGGGACAAGCTGTATGAATGGGTAAGTTCAACTTCGACCGGGAGGTCAACCGACGAATCCAACTCGGCTGGGCAGCGTTCGGGAAACTATGCGACAACCTCAAAATTTGAAAATGAAGGTCTTTAACTAGTGTGTGTTGCCAGTGATGATTTATGGTGATGATGTGAGTGATGATTCCGAAATGAGGATGTCCGCAAAAGAACCAAAATAACCGACATAGCCTGAAGGATAAGCAAGCTGAAGTAGCAATGGGCTGGTCACAAAGCTAAAAGAATTAACAATACCCAATTAGAACAAGTAAATACATTTAAATATTTAGGCAGTTTATTAATCACAAGTGATTCCAGATATACTCCGGATGTAGTCACGAGAATAGCCATGCCAAACAAGCCTTTAATAACAAAAAACACCTTTTACAGGTTAAGATAACAAAAAACGGCTTATCAAAACCTATATCTGGAGTATAGCTTTGTATGGATGTGAGACATGTATCTTAACTCAGAAGGAAATGGATAAACTTAGAGCCTTTGAAATGTGGTGCTAGAGAAGGATGGACAAAATTTGCTGGAGGGATTGAATTAGCAATGAGGAGGTCCTGCTTAGGGTTAAGGAAAAAAGACAAATTATTAGAATTATTGAAGACAGAAGGGGGAAAATGTTGGGACACTTGATACGATACGACGAACTTATGAACATTATAATAGAAGGTAAGATAGAAGAAAGGAGGGGAAGACCGAGACATAGTCACATCAGGCAGATCAAGGAAGGAGTTGGTGTCGTGTCGTATCAAGAGGTGAAGAGACTCGCTGAAAATCGTAGTGAGTGGCAAGAGCTCCACCGACAAGAGCGCAGCTCTTAAATAGAATAGATAGATGTTATCTATGAGAAAAATCGAGTCTACGGAATCAGTCCGTAATCAAGAGAATAGTTTAGGATGAATCGAGAGATATGTGTAAGAATAAAGGTCTTCGCTACTCGGTCCATTTTACTTTGCAATGGAATTGGCACGAAACTAGATAAATATAAAATTCTTTACTCTCTGATATAATTTGATGCCTCAGTAATAATTTCTCCTAATTATATATTTATAATATTTACGACTGATATTGTTTATAAAGTAAAAGAATCATTTCCGTTTGCTCTAGCAACATAAAAGAAGATAGGAAGGGAGACTTCGTACAAAAGTCGTTTGCTTGGACACCTCTGTCCATTCGTGTTTCTACTGTGAAGCAGTTATGTTTTCATGGCTATGTTCCGGCTTGAAGGGTGGGATATGGTTGTGAATTTACAAGGTACAGAGGAATAACACCTGAGTCCTTAGGAATGGTAACGCATGAGGAGTGTCATGGGCGAAACAATATACTCTGTTCTGCCCATACTACAGTTCATATCTATAGGCGAGGCGTTTACCACTTTCCATCAGGTGGGCCATCAGCTTGTTTGCCATTCTAAGTTGCATAAAAAAAAGAATTAATAAGATTTTCTTTTTACAATATTTGTAATACATTATATGAAAATATATAGCAATATGTAAGTTACAGCAAATTTTGTATAGTTGACTATAACTTTGATTATGGCCATGTGACTCGAATAAAACAGAAAGAAACTATCACTTGCTATCAGGTGGGACGACAGCTTGATTGACCTTCTACATTGCATAAAAATTTTTAATGCGAATTGTTATATGTGAATAATATAAAAGTAATGCGAAATATTTTTTTCTCAATAAATTGTAATAATGTTATTATAATACTTTGTCCGCGTGATCTGGATAAAGAGTAAACTACTTCCGTCCCACCTTATAAAAAATTTATATACTAAATTTCATAGAGTTTTCCAAATCAGTTAAGAACTAACAGAGTTACAGGTAACAAACGTAAACATTCAACTGAATGAGTATCTTCTTGTACACATACATACATATACTAATGAATAAATAATCATAAATAAATGCCCCTTGTACATATGTAAATATTCTAATTAAAAGAAATGGAATATATATACACACAATTAACTTAACCTATTGATAGAAAAGAAAATGTAGTTAAAAGAAAGAAAGAGGGTAAACAGATACATTTGCCCCTAAGGCATTCCATCAGTTACGTCATGACCACGACTCTTGGAAACAGGGTCTGAATATCAACCACGCTGAAATAAATAAACAATCGTGCTAAGAACTCGTCAGTTATGGGTATTACACGTAAGGACAACTGGGAAAATCAAAAAGGTTTAAAAAATAATAAATGGCATATTTTTAACAAAATATTTATTTAGGTAACAGTTTTTATCCACGAAATCGTCCGCATTCTCAGTATATATTGATCAACCGAGACAAAAGTAGCTTAAAACCTTCTTCATCTCATATACTATATGTATGTATAATAAATTTCGTGACGATAGAAATGTAACGCCAGGAGGTAATAAAAAAATAAACAGACAAATGCACTTGAATACAATATTGTTAAAAGAACTTTTTTATGTATGTAGTTATTTTCTAAAATATTCGATATTTATTTTGTAATAGGTATGTTTTTTACGAAGTAATTTTTCTTCATTCCACACTCTCTAAACGTGCACTTACCCGCACATTTATTCTTGTTTATTTATCCAATTTACGTCTAGGTTTTTTGTGTCCATGAATTTTACTAGGTTAAGATCCCACTGCTGACTTTTGCATGTGAAAGGCTTTTTATTATTTTTATTATTTATTTTGTTGAGGCTAAATGAAAGCGGCCAAACCAAATGCTATGTACTCGTATTATATTTTTGCTCATCTTGTATTTAAATATCTTCTATCTGCAGAATTCAGTTATAAGATCTCAGGCTATAACTAAACAATACTTAAATAATGTGTTCTCGTAATACTGAAATATAATTATGTAGTAAAATGTCGTGGCTACCTACATACACAGTTACCGTCAGAAGACGTTATAATTTGTGCACTTTGCTAGACTTAAATATAAATACACCATTATAACAGAAAGAATAGTAGTAGTGTAATAGAAAGCGAGTCACTTAGCAAAAAAAATTATAGTGGTTTAAGAAAAATGCTTACATACATACACATACATATCGGTCACGCTTATCTCGCATTAAAGTAAACAGAAACAATAAATTTTAGTTAATCTAACTATTCATAACAAAATGCAATTTAAGATTAGTACTGACCACTGACCTTAATTTTAACCGCGTAAAGGTAAGTTTTCGCGCGACTTCTGCATGACCGAAATA